AGCAAATCGTTACTTTAATAAGACTTTAATAAGATGAGATGATCTTCAAAATCAACCAATCATAATAAAGCCCGCTACGTTAGCCTGTTATTCTTAAACGCGGATGCATAAAATACACTTTTTAACGAGTATAAAAGATCTCAGTATTGCTCTTACAATTGTTGCAAACTATTTAAATTTAATATTTCTGCAAATTTAAAAAATAAAATGTTACCAAAATATTATTTCTTGTTGGTTATCGCTTTGATTTTCATTACAACTACAATGGCTAGACCGATGCCTGCAAAGCATGATAGTGTAAGTAAAGTTTTATTGTTTACAAAATTGTCTGATATAATTTACTCGTAAGACTTATAAAAAATTAATTATAAACTATATTAGCTTCACGTAAATTTTTTATATAATTCTTTTTTTTTTTTTAAGCTTATTACATATAAAAAAAATTTATATTAATCTTATATTGAATTATATTTACAGCAATTACCGTGTAACTTAAAGATCAATTTATATGAAACAACCTTTAGGTTCTAGTAAATTACTTGCACGATTTGGACCAATTTCACCGGCCCATTTTGTTTGAGGAACCGTCAAAGCCAGGTCCATCACGAGATTTTCTGTTTCATGTGACCAATTAAAATTGCAAAATTTTGTTTATACGAATCATCCGAACGGAGCTCGGCGAAGATAAAAGGTAAAAAAAATGCTAAAAATACAAGAAATAAATGTCTAAAATATCTTGGTTCATTAAGAAAAAAATGTCAGAGGACAATTTTACTTATAAGGGCCCTCTAAACTTAGCCCATACGGGCTAATTAAATTTCGTGACGGCACCTGGCTTTAAAGGCTCTCCTTATTTGGAAGATCCATTTCGATTAGCCAATTAAATTGCGAAAAAGATCTAAACGTATTTTGGGCTGCAAACAATTTTCTTTCTAAACTTGCCCTACTGGTAACCATTGCTTCACCTTAGACACACTTCCAAATAAGGAATTTTAGATTTTAAGTTACACATATCTTTTTAAATATGGTAAAGCTTGCATTTTAACTAACATTACAGTTTCAATTGAATTAATCTAAATGGTAGCTTGTAAGTACATTTTTTTTGTTACTTTATTTAAATATGTCATATTTATGAATCAATATTTGTGGTAATTTATTAAACAAATTTATAAATGCGCAACTATATTTACTAGCTAGTAAGTTAATTCTTTAAATCAATGCTCATTCATTATAAGATTTATTTTCTTAATTGCTTTATAATTTACAAACCTTTTTTTTGTTTTCAAAATTCTAGCTGGTAAGATGTTATATATATTACCATTTTCACTGGTTTTTTTTTTTATTTGAATAACATTTTACTTTTTTATACAAATTCTACGTTATAATAGAAGGCGTAATGCCAAACCGTTTGTACAGTAAGTGTAATTTCTTTTAATTTTTCATATTTTGTTTTATTGATGACTTACTAATATATTTTATCTCTATTTTGATCATTATATTAGCGATTGAAGAGAATAAATCATTTTGAGGATTTACAAGTTGCCTTTGAAACTTTGGTCGCAAGCATGAATTTTTCAACTGAGAATACAACTTTATTTATTAATATATTTTATTTGTGTTTTTTTTTTAAAAAAAGAAAAAGTCTAAAAGGAAAATAATTACAAATTTTACAAGGTTAAACTTCGTTAACAATTAGCTTTTAGAGAACAAGATCTAAAATTTTAATTTTTTATGTCAATTTTCAATTTGTTGTAAACTTTTGTTTGTTATTTATTATAATTTAAGAATCCTTTATCATTATATATAACTTTAACTTACGGAGTTTAATAAAATTGTGATAATATAAATTATCGTACGGGTCTGGCGTAACAACCCGTGCTTCACTCTTTACTGATAAACCTTTTTATGTTTCTATTTACAGTAATTTTTTTGATTTGTTCGTAAAATACTTTGGCGAACGGAATACCATATTCAATATGTAGAACACATCATTAATGTCATTAGTGTCCTTACTGTCATCACTGTCGTCTTCACTATTTCTAATTTTTCCACCAAAGAAATACCATCTGGAATTGTTAATTATAGCACTTGTTTGTAGATGACGGGGAACGGGAACAAATTGACAAGTAACTAAGAGAATGGTCCCCAAGTATAAAGTGAAAAATCGACAAAGCAGATTTTGAAGTTTCATGTTAAAAAATTTTAATAAAAATATAAAAAAATAGGTGATAATTATGTTTATATGTCATAACTAGGCTTAAACATATTCAGGTCATATAGACATTATCTATTTATGACAATAAGAAAAAAATTTTTTCATCATTAATAGCGATAATATCGGGTCAACACTAGAAATGAACAAACGCGTTATGTCATGCATGATATCGATATGATTATCCTTTTACAGTAACGTAGTACAAGCGCATCATAATGCATGAATGTGTCAATGAGTACATGCCTAAAGATGAGCCTGATTGCGAATTCATGCAAAATTAGGACATATCTATAATTTAATCTAGAGTTAATGGTGTCATGCGGAATTCAAAAATAGAAATGAAAAGATTTTAGAATATTTCGAAAAGAAATGAAAAATATAAAAATTAAGCAAGTCGGAGCAAAAAATCCAATGTTTTTAAAGATAAAAATGCGTAATTGAATTTATTTCAGTATTTCTAGATAATGAGTTATCATTATTTGAATCAAAAGGGTAGCTTGTATAATGTACGAATTTAACTAACCCATTTGATACAAATTTGGTATGTAAAACCTATATATATATACCTTTCTTTTTCCCTATTGAGAAAGAGGAATGTAATGAATCAAATTGGTCTGGTTATTTGATAAACTTTTTTGTAATAATTGCATCATATGCATTTACATGTTATGCGCGTTAATGCGCATCCACGCGCATATTATTATAAATGCGTATTTTTCCTATCCTAATACATACGTTAAAAAGAGCTTATAAACAAAGTAAAACTATAGATAACTTTAATTATTTTAATATAACCAAAAATTATGCCTAAATTATCATATGCTAGTGCGTGTTAAAATGCATATTAAAAATTTGTCCCATGAATAAAATATACGTTTGAGTAAAATCAATAAAGATCCAATTTTGATTAGAACGCTCTTTCATATAGTGCTATACTGAGACATCATTTCCATACATTGCATACTCAAGTATTATAATAGAAATCATTTACTAAGTCAGGAACTATCTTCTGGAGTTTTTCAGTATAAAGAGTTCCGGTAGCGCCTATTCTATAAAAGCGTTCGATAACGATATAGATAACGATAGGGTTATTAATAGTAATCCCTTGATCGTTATATAAAAATTTACAGTAAATAATGCTGTTACATAGAGCAAAGCGCATACATGCGCATTGAACATTTTTAGAGGTCAGTTTATTAACGATTCATATTTCATTATTTAGGAAAGGGTTGTTTCCTTTCCTTATAAGCTACTGTGTTCTACTTACACTAACATTGCTCAAAATTCAGCACATGAGTTTATGAACATCCATACACAATGATTGTGCATAACCAAACAGCCGATGCCAAACTCAAATAAATTGTCGACGTGAATCCGTGATGATTAGAGATGTGCAAATGCAATTTTTTTTTGGCCTTGCATCACACATTATGTCGCATGATGCATTATGCATTCTGTATAATATACTGTGAACTTCTTAAAACTTATATGCATGATGAACAGATTTTTGTATCATTGTTGAGAGGTTATCGGATTTGAAAACATTATGAACTATTCGATTTATAGTGGAGCAGACTTGGTAGATTAATTTTTTGTTGAGCTTTTACAGGATCAGTTTTGAGAGGGCAACAGTACTGTTGAACCTCTCAAAACCTATATGCAAGGTGAACGGATTTTGCATCATTTTATTGAAAGGTTATTTAAAAACGCAATAACCCATTAATTTTTTATTGGATTTGACAGATCATTGATTTTGAAGGATCAGTTTGATTGGTTTAGCAGCATTTATAAAATAACTTGTCTGTGGATTACTGAATTCAGTGTTCATTTTTCACGTGCGCACACTTTTGCGCACGTGAAAAATAAACACTGACTGAATTAAAATATTTGTAAAATAAACTCGTCAGTAAAATAAAGCGTCTATGAAGTGATGGTAAATGATTAGATCAAAACTACATTTTAAAGTTTAAGCAACTTGCATTGCATAATGCATACAGCATATCTCTAGTGACAGCACAGATCCGTAAATGAAAAATCGGAAATGAAATTCCTCTGATTCCTAATAGGAAAGGTTATTATTTCTACCAAATATATACTGTGCATGGCTGGGTTTATATATTATAGAAAGTAAAAAATTTTGGAAATTGCATTTTAATTGGGAAGATCTTACCGAGTCTGGTACGTACGTACATGGTGGGTCTAACTATTCAGAGGAACCTTTTATACTGTATGGTCATTTACGGTACTTATATATTTTACTTATCTGTTATACTGTATGTACGTACATGGTTGGTCTAACTATTCAGAGGAATCTTTTATATGATCATTTATGGTACTTATATATTTTATTTATATGTATGTACAGACGTGTACGGAATTTTATTGGATTATGCTTATTAAAAAGACCTGAGTTATTAAATACTTAAAAAGCCTAGTCTTGGGCAATACATTTATTATTTTACCTTAATTTATTGAATTTAAAACTAGTTAGAACTTATGGCTTTGTCTAAATTTTCGGAACAACTGGATACATATTTGAAAGATAAAAGTGATATAAAAATTTTTGATTTTCCGAAACATGAAAAGAACCTCAAATGTATTGGTAAAGGAGGATTTGGAATTGTGTATTCAATTACTTTCGAAGAAGAAAATTATGCGCTAAAAAGTTTTAAGCAATCTGAGGAACTTGATGAGAATGAGTTCAAAGACTTCATGAAAGAAGTAATGCATTTTTTTTATTTAGGTGTAAACAACGAAGTGTTATTAATATTATATATTTATTTTTATAAACCACACGAAATCTCATTATTTTATGGAACAGCTTAAAATGTTACATAAGGTCGACGATCATCCCAATGTCATAAAATTTTACGGAATTTCACGGGGTATGATCGATTTAAAAACATAATTATACGTGGATCGTAAAGATTTTAATTTATTTTTATATATAATTTAGATGTATCAGGTGACGATTTCACGTTGGTATTACAACTTGCCAACGGTGGAAACCTACGAGATTATCTACGTAACAAGCAAGAAAACAATCAGTATAGAATTATATGGACTGATCTTATGCGAATTGCAATTGACATCACTGAAGGATTAAAGCATCTACATAATAATAACATCATTCATCGAGATCTTGTAAGTTTAGAGTTTTTCAAAATAAGTAAATTAAATGATAAACTTATACAGAAAATTTTGAATTATTTATAATTTTCAAATTCCTTTTATAAAATTTTTAGCATTCCAAGAATATTTTAATAAATGATGGTAGAGCCTTAATTTCTGACTTGGGAATATCAAAAAGAATAGATGGGTCTACTGCAACTTCAAGACTTAAAGGAATACTGGCATATATTGATCCGCAACGCCTTTTTCAACCTAAGGAAAGTACCAGATGTGATAACCAAGAAAATATTAACCGGGACAAAAGATCTGATATTTATAGTCTAGGTGTATTATTCTGGGAACTCACAAGCGGTGTCCCTCCATTTTATAAGTATCTTCCAGAAACTGTATTAACAAAGCTTTTAAATAAAGAAAAAGAAGGAACTATTTCTGGTACACCGAAAGGTTATGCTGATATTTATACGAAATGTTGGTCTTTTGAACCAAGACTACGACCAAATTTAGATGAAATTTTAGAAAATCTTCTCATACTATCCGAAAAAACAGCTGATTTTACTATTATAAATAAATTAGATAACTTATCCGATTTTTTAGATAGGTTATTTTATGATTTTGCTGATTCAACAAACAAGGGACTAGAATTTTCGCAAATTTCTAAAAGAATAAGAGATATTATTAATTTAGAAAATCAAAAACCGCAAAATACGTTTAATTGTCTATATAATAAAGAAAATAATAATAATTCGGAGTGGATATGCCTTCTTGGATTTTTTTATTTAGAAGGAATCGGAACTGGAAAAAATCAAATAACTGCACGTAATACGTTTGAAAAAGCAAGAAATGGTAATACAAACGGAAGTTTTATGGCAAAATTTTATCTCGGTGAATGTCTTAGAAATGCTTATGGGACCGAAAAAAATTTAGCAAGCGCTAAACTATTATATAAAGATATAAGGGGTGAATGTGCAAGAGCAGCTAATTCTTTAGGGCTTTGTTATTTAAAAGGAATAGGATGTAAAACCAAAAGAAAGGCGATTAGATGTTTTGAAGAATCATACGAAAAAGGTTGCATTTCTGCACGTAATAACTTGGGAAACTGTTACCAGTTTGGAAGAGGAATCAAAAAAGACGAAGAAAAAGCATTTCAATATTATTTAGAGGCTGCTAAAGATGACATTATAGTAGCGCAATACAATGCCGCAGAATGTTTAAGAAAAGGAATAGGGACGGAGAAGAATTTAGATTCTGCAATACAATGGTACAATAAATCAGCAAATAATGGATACAATAATGCTAATAATAAACTAAATAGCATTAATAGGAACCAAGGAGTAGATAGCAATCAAATTTTCTCTCAATTTCTTGAACAATTACACATTACCCGGTAGATTAACGAATTTTGTATGTATTATACGTATAGATCATAATGAACGCGAATACTGGATTTTTTTAAAATTATTTTTTATTTATATATGTACAGTGTAAATTTTTTTATTTGTTTACATACTGAATACAGTACAATCAACTCTCAATAAGTGCATCATCTATAGGTACACTTCCTTAAGCGCACATCATTTTTTAAATTCCGTGATAATGTAATCATTATCTCTGTATTAGTATGTACCATTCTTTATAAAAATCTCAGCGTAACCACCAATCGAAGGCGCAATTACATGATATTCTGGCCTTACAATTTTCCGTTGTTACGCTCAATTTTTTGTGTCATATTATTTTTTTATCATTATCATATTTCTTATTTTGGTATAGTTTGTGGTATAGTTGAGAGATTGAAACCCCAATTGAGGGGTTAAAATCCCGTACAAATTAAAGATATATAAGAGTGTAGTTTCAGTTTATGAAGGGAATAATAGTTGTTGATAGCAT